GTGAAGATGAACTTTGTGACCTTCAGGCTGATTCTGTATCCCAAAAAATATTTCCAAGAAAATGGATACAAAAAGTTTTGGACTGCCAAAGGACAAATCTTTGCACCCAGACTGCCCAAACACACTGATGAGGGTTATTCTTCCATTCAGCACCTGTCTGAGGCAGCCTGCAGACTCTTGTGTCAATAAAAACAAAAGCTACGACAGACTTGATGTTCATCAAGACTTGAGGTTGGCTGTGACAAACATCACGACTGACATCAAACCCTGGTCAGAAACATCAAGCTCAGGGCAGCCATCAGTTCAAGAATGAAGCGACTGACAGAGACGCAATGTACTGGTCATTTGAAGTTATTGCTGGGTTTCTGTTTTAATAATATGCACAGTGTATAAACACACCCTCATACATTTTACATATAGATACATAGACATAGATTTATCTTGTTTTTACACAAACTTTGCTGTTTTAATTTTATTTTCCAGCCTGCTGTTATATCTGTAATTATTATATTTTTGTCATTAAAGTTGTTTTAGGGTGGCAGGAATAAACTTTGGTCTTGGTCCTACTAGGGCTAGCCATTACCTCATTATTCAGATCAGAATGAAATACTTTTCTATACCGAGATGTCTCAAAAAGCTATCTATCACAGGTAAGACATTTATTAAATTTACAAACAAATCCAATTCAAGTCAACATAACTTTCAAGTAAAAAGCTTTCTGCCCTTTTAACTCTTTTTTTCTGTTATGTGTATGTCTATGTATGTATATCTATATATGTATGTATGCATATACACATTAGTCTTTGTTTGTGTTAGAGCTGTGTGTACATGCTCAGAGTTTGGTATCTTTTTTTTATTTTATTTTTTTATTCAACATTTATTTAACCAGATAAAAACCCATTGAGATCAAGACCTCTTTAACAAGGGTGACCTGGCCAAGAACAGGCAGCAGCAGCACACGCCATAAAAAACAAAACAAGTAGCAAGATTATGAAGACTTCAGAAATATATAAAAATATAAAACATACAGTATAACAGCAAATGTCAATAATTATTTAAAACAATAACAATTTAAGATCTAAAACACAGGCACTGTTGACAAGATATCCTTTGTCGGTTTTTTTAAAGTTTGCAAAAAGCACTCAAAGTAGCAAGTTCTGTCAGTTTTAATTCAGCTTGCAAGGCATTCCAAGCTGAGGAGGCAGAAAAGCTAAAAGCTTTCTTGCCCTTTTCTGTTCGCACATGAGGAACATTAAGATGCAAACAGTCCTTAGAGCGTAAGGCATAACTGCTGTCCATTCTTTGTATAAAAGTACATAAATAATGTGGAAGCATGCCAATAAGAGACTTATAAACCAAAGTCATCCAATGCACGTCACCTGTTAAACAGGGAAGACATATTGGTTTTAAGATAGAGATCACAGTGATGAGTAAGGTAGCTACAACCAGTAATAAATCTTAATGCACAATGGTACACTGGATTCAATGACTGTAGACAACTGCTTGAAGCACACATATAAACAACATCGCCATAGCCATAGTCAAGTACTGGCAAAAAAGTAGCCGTGATCAAAAGCTTCCTTGCTCTATGGGAGAAACATGATTTGTTTCTAAAGAAGAACCCGAGCTTCACCCTTAATTTGGAGATTAAGTGTTTCACATGAGATTTAAAAGAAAGCTCCTCGTCGATAATGAAGCCCAGGTATTTATAACAGGAGATCCTCTCGAGAACTTTACCTTGGGAAGTTTTTATTAGAGGGATATATTCTCCAATGGGACAGATACATTTGAAAGAAAAAAAAACAACATTATTTTTGATTTATCTGCATTTAAGACCAATTTTAGTTGCTCAAGATGAATCTGCACCTCATCAAAAGCAGCCTGTAAGAATTTAAGTGCCTGATCAATTGAATTTGAACAACAGTAAATTACACAATCATCAGCATAAAAGTGGTAGGAGGCATTTTGCAAATGCCTTGGATAAATCAATAAACAGAGCACAGCAAACCTTTTTAGAATCCAGTGCCTCAAACACATCATTTAAAACTTTTAGAGCAGCAGTTGCAGTGCTATGCTGCTTCTTAAAACCTGACTGAAAAGGGTTTAAAAGATTATTTGTTTCTAAGAATTCTTTCAATTGATCACAGACCAACTTTTCAAACACTTTTGCTAAAATACATAATTTAGAGATGGGTCTATAATTGTTCACGATTGACGGCTCACCTCCTTTTAATAATGGAAGAACTAATGCAGATTTCCAGACTTCAGGAACTTTGTTTGTGATGAGGCTTAGATTAAAATACAAGTTAAAGGCTCATCAATCAAATCAGCAGCTAGTTTTAGAAAGAAAGGTTCCAGACCATCCGGACCAGCTGATTTTTTGGAGTCCAATTTTTGTGGTGCACCACTTACCTCAGAGACACATACCTGTGTAAAATGAAAAACATTTTCAGCAGATTTAGAACTAACAGGTACAGTTTTTTCTACTGTTGGATCACTATTAGATTAATTAAATAAGTTTCCTGCTGCAATGAAATGTTCATTAAAATAATTTAACATGGCACATTTATCAGTCAGATTTAAGGAGTCTTTGACCAAGAAGTTTGGCATTTCACTAGAAGGCAGACCACCAGAAACCGATCTCACAGTATTCCAAAACTTATTTGGATCATTTAGATTTTTGGTGGTTTCTGATAAATAAAATTCAGATTTAGATTTTTTAATTTTAGAGGTACATTTATTGCGAAGTTGACGAAAGTTAATCCAGTCAGCCTCCAATTTTGTTTTTCTAGCCTTAGCCCATGCGTGATCTCTTTGTCTGAGGAGACAACCAATTTCAGTGGAAAACCAAAACTATACCTTTTACAAATCAAAGTTTGTAACTATTATCATCTTTTATTGCCTTTATTCTATATTTACTTACATTACTATTACTTATATAATATTACTTATAATATTACTTATAATATTTACTTTATTCTTTTATCCCATTGATAAAGAGATTAATCTTTTTTTTTTCCCTTGTCCTGTCCAGCATTGTGACACTTAGAATTATTGTCTGAGTGTCAAAGTGATGCCCAACAGATTTACTTTCACAAGCAGAGCATTATGGCTGGCCTTAATGCTCCACTTGATATAAAAATTTAATTTTATTAGAATTTGCTTTGGGCTTGTTTCAGATATAAAGGACATGGGGTTGTAAAAAAAAAAAAAAGATAACAAAGCAGAAAAGTGAGAGAAGGGTTAAAAGGTAAATAAGGAGATAGGAATAGAGGAGAGAGAGATAAAGAGAACACAAATCAACATCATTGAAGTCTGCCTCTAGACCTGCAGAGAGAAAAAACAAAAAACAAGACAAAACCAAGAAACCACATCAACAAACAACATATATAATGATACTTATAACATCATTGGAAAGTATTTTATACAGTATATGGTAATAAAAGGTATATTAAGTGGTCTCCACAACCCAACTGAGTGTGTATAAACACCTGAATCTAAACACCTGTGTGAGCATGCTTATCACGATAAGGTTTCTCATAAAAATGTTCAATAGTGGATGTGGGGACCCACAGACCCGTCCCCACAGGACATGATGCTAATATAGGGAAGACTGGAACCACAGACACACAGTGGTCCTCAAGTCCAGAACTCTGGGAGTCCCCCAACAGGGACACCCGCACCCCCCAGAGAGAGAAGCAAAGGGAAGCCCCGGGCGACCCCCAGCAATCACAATGCAGAAACCCCAGGGGGCTGCAGCGACGAGTCCAACGAGTCCAACCCGCCCCTCCAGAGTAGATCCGGCCATGGACACCGAGTCCCGAGGTCATACCACCCCCCAACAGAGGCCCATCAGAGCCAGGGCACCCAGGCCCCGGCAGACAACCACCAGAGCGAGCACGCACATACCCCACCACCCAGCCCCAGCTGCTGAGAGCCGCCAATGCACCGGCGGCAGGGGGGCCCACCACTGGAGGGGAGCACGACCCACCAAATGGGGGGCCAAAACTGGTCCAAGAGAGGGGACCACCTAAAACCCAACCTGAGACATAAACAGGCACACAGAGACAGTCCAACAGAGCCTCTGTCGGGCCGTCCATGCGCCCCACCCAGACTGTTTTTAAAATTACTCTGTTGTTAGTCTTTAAAGAAAAGTTATTTGACTAATTCTCAAAACAGTGTTCTTGTAGTTATTTCTGTTGTACAACTACCAGTTTATACCTTTTACAAATCAAAGTTTGTAACTATTATCATCTTTTGTTGCCTTTATTCTATATTTACTTATATTACTATTACTTATAATATTACTTATAATATTTAATTTATTCTTTTATCACATTGATAAAGAGATTAATCTGAATGAGTGTTTTGGGAGAGGGGAGTAGCGAGGGGTTGGGGGGGGGGGGGTCTTAGATTGGCTAGGAAGTAAGAAGGGGGGTCTTTGAGGAAAATAGGCTGGGAGCCTTTAGCATATTCTATCTTAAATCCTTGTGTACTGTTTTTTTTTAACACTTTATATTTTTGCTAATGTTGGATGTAACTGGGACCCTGTGTACACAATTTTGTTCCACCTCATGTACCACATGTGATGTGAATGACAATAAAGTCACCTTGAACCTTGAACCTGCAGCCTCAGCATTATGAGGCTGTGACACCGACCACTCAGCAACCACAGCCCCCAATTAGAGTTAGAATTAAAATGGTCATAAATAAACTATTGATTTGGAAAGATACAATCTGTAGAGTAAGACCAGCTGAAGAGATAAAATACGAGAAAGGCTGAGCGAGTTTTATTTTGAAATCAGGGACAGGAAGTGACAGTGGTTTTGACAGTAAAACAGTTTAAATTCACTGAGCCTGAGTGAGTGGCTCAGCTGCTCACCAGTGGAGCATCAGTGTCAGAGAAGTTGCTGCTGCTTCACAGAAACCTGTTTCCATCTGGACTCAGGAACGGTTCCTTAGCTTCAGTTTTATCAGGAAGAACAGACTGACTGTGTGGAATATTACATCGTCCTGGGGATGTTAGCTGTGTGATGAGCAAAAGGTGAGCGATAAATGTTCACATTTACATCAAGCTTCATGTAAATTATTCCTAACATAATTCTTTGTCACAACAATAATAGTAAATGGTAAATGGACTGTACTTATATAACGCCTTTCTATCTTATTGAGATACACAAAGTGCTTTCCACTACAATCTGTGTCCTCATTTACCCATTCATACATCACTCTACTAGATCTCTACAAAGCTAATTGAACAAATCTTTCTAAAGAGACTAATCAGAGCTTTATCACATTCATACACCGATGGGACACACATCGGAGGCAACTAGGGGTTCAGCGTCTTGCCCAGGGACACTTCGGCATGTGACTGCTGGTGGATTCGAACCTTGAACTCTTGCTTTGGAGGATGACTGTTCTAACCACTCAGCCACAGCCGCCCTTAGTTTGCTTTGTAATGTTCATTAAGCGGTTCAACCATTTTTGTTTATGAGACGAAACTTAAAACTTTTTAAAGCTTTAAATAAACTCAAACTTTAGTTTTAAAACACAATTTGTGCAAGCCAGTTCAATTTCCTTCCCATCAAGTACAAAATACTGTGATTGCTACTACTATTACTACTACTATTCAAAATAAATAAGTAGTCATATGCACAAAAATCTGATAAAAAATGGATTAATTCATTCAAACTGATGTTTTCACACATTATTAGATAAAAACACTGAAGAGCATGTCAGTATGGGTGACACCATGTACAAAAGTAATTCATGCAGAATGACTGCTGGGCTTTTTGTAGCATTTTTCCTCCAACACAATCAGATGTTTAGTCTCGTGTGTGAAACGGTGCTCTGCAATAACACACTGTGTAGAAGTCAGCTGTTTATCCCCTGTTGTCTTCATAAAGCAGCACAGCCGACCGATTTAACACCAGATAAAGGAAATTATGTTTTCTTGAATTGAGGGTGTATTAGTGGATTCATTCACTGGATCATTTTAAAATTAGGTTGAATGAAATTATATTTTTCCTAATGTGGTGATGACTGTGGTCAGCTATGGGAGAAGGTATGCTTCACACTCTTGATACAAACAGTCTCCACTAACAGCCTCACCAGGGATTTGGAAGATGTGGTGCACCAGTTATAGAGCTAATAATATATAGTATGTGCTGCAACTATTAGGGTGAACAGAAACACTTTTCAAAGCCATGTTTGTAAGAATCATTTATCCATGAGGCACACGAGATCAAATCAAGTTTAAATGTTTACAAGATTGCACCGATTAGCCCTCAGTCACAGTTTGTGCTCCGGGTCAGCAGTTGCAGTCCCTCTAATTAGGTCTTCATCAGAAAGGTGTAAAAATGGCATGGCTGAGAAGATATATGGCTGACCAAGACAGAGTTTTTGTTCGGCTCCATAAAATTACATCTCCTAAACATAATGAAAGTTCTCTGTGCAACAGTATATTGTCACCCAGTCATCACAAAATATTACATTAGAATAGGTTTAAAGTTAAATTGTGGCAAGTGACATCTCAACAAGCAAAAACTGTGGGCTGAAGAGCTGACTAATTTCAGTCTTTGCATGTGTGTATAATATAGATTATTCACCATTCCAGTGTCTTTCAAACTCCTCAGTGAATCGTCACCTTACTATGGTGGGGGAATTTATGCATCTGAATGACCCTAGGGGCTATACTGCTGGAGGCAATTATCCCTGGTAGCCAATGCTCATTGGTTGTAGATGACATGCAAGGCAAAGGGTGATTCAGAAAGCTCATATGGATAGAAGACAGCAAGGAGCTGTCTGGATTACCGGGACCCCACTCTGGAGCCATGCCTGGGGAAGGGGCTCATCAGTGAGCACCTGGTGCGTTCCATAGATTTGCCTTCCTGTGGGCCTACCACCTGCAGGGGCCATACGACTCGAGTACATGGTGCCATGGGTTGCAGCTGAAGATGGGGTCCTTGGTGCTCTGACCCAGGCTTATCAAATCTGGTTATTGGGACATGTACAATGTACACTGTGAGTTCTGTGAGTATGGGAATAAGCACATTCAAATCTGAGGCCATGGTCCTCAGCTGGAAAAATATGGACTGCCCTCTCTGGGTTGGGAGTGAGGTTCTGCTTCAAGTGGAGAAGTTCAGGTATCTCAGGGGTTCACAAGTAAGAGAAGAAAGGAGCGGGTGATCGACCGGCAGAACGGTGCAGATTCTGCAGCATTGAAAACTCTGTGCCAGACTGTTTTGGTAAGGAGGGAGCTGAGTAGCAAAGCGAGGCTCTCTGTTTACTAGTCAGTCTACGTTCTTACCTGCCTATGGTCGTAAACTGTGTGTAGTGACTGCAAGAAGAGATCATTTGATAAAAGTGGCCAAAAAAGTTTTCTTTACAGGGTAGTAGGACTCCCTTAGAGATAGACTGAAAAGTTTAGTTATCCAGGAGGGACTCCGAGTAGAGCTGCTGCTCCTCCACATTAAGAGGAGTCAGTTGAGGTGTTTCTGGCCTCTGGAAAGGATGCCTCCTGGACACCTTCTCAGGGATATTTTCTATGCATGTCCAAATGGGAAGAGACACCGGGGACCCAGAACACGCTAAAGAGACTGTCTTTTGACTGACCTGGGAGCATCTTGGAGCTCTCCTAGAAGAGCTAGAAGAGGTAGCTGTGGAAAGAGTTGTTGGCCTACTATGTGAGTGTGCTGCTTGTGGGACTAAGTTTGTTGTGGCTTCTCGGACTGATGAAGTCCTTTAGATGAAGGACAAAACATAAAAAAAACATTCAGAGGACCTCACTTAACTTTGTTGGATTTTTTTAATCTGGATTATTGAGCATAAACTTTGATACAGCATTTAGTTTTCTTCGTTTTACTGCTCCTGGTGGGGTATGTTCATCTAAATACTTCTATGTGAGCTCTGCTTCGGCAAAGGAAGGCATGTCAGCGTAGCTGGGCTGCCTGTTTGTTGAGCTAATCATTATGGCAGAACTATAGCACAGTGCATCTGTTGGATCACTGGTATTAACCCTCCGCACCTTCACCTCGTTGGAGCAGATAGACAGCAATGGTACTGCAGGCCTGATCACTGTGCCACTGGTCGACACTGGTGCAGGTAGACACTGGTGTAGGTAGACACTGGCACAGGTAGACACCAGTGCAGGTAGACACCGGTATAGGTAGACACTATTGCAGACAGACACTGGTGTAGGAAGACACCGGTGCAGGTAGAAACCGATGCAGGTAGACACCAGTGCAGGTAGACACTGGCGTAGGTAGACACTGGTGCAGGTAGACACTGGTGCAGGTAGACACTGGTGTAGATAGACACTGGTGTAGGTAGACACCGGTGCAGGTAGACACCAGTGCAAGTAGACACTGGTGTAGGTAGACACCGGTGCAGGTAGACACTGGTGTAGGTAGACACTGATGTAGGTAGACACCGGTGCAG